GGTACGTGTGTTCCAGTAACTTATATACACAAAGCTTGTTTTCATAGCGATCATTGTACATTCATCTGCGGGAATTCCGGTACATGACATCCTGGCGACGCCCAAGTAATGAGCCTAATTGAGGATGATGTGGCATGTTAACTCTTGGTGCTGCAGGTAGCAGTGTCTGCTTAATTGCAAAACCCTTAATGAATCAGTTGATTCAAGGTTGGGGAAGGGATGAGGGTACACTGCCAGTGATGAGCTGTGAATGCACTTTGAAAATCCGTAGACTTCAAGATATTTTCTACATTCAAAATACATGTACCGGTAATTAAGTCTTCTGGAGAAATTTTTTTCCCTCCTCTGTGGGGAGGCGAGAGGGAGTGTGCACACGCATAAGGTGCATTTGAATGCATTCATGAAGGATACTAGGCAAATGTCAGGAAACTTATAATGGGCTCCTGTATATTGCTTTAATTGGTAGGTACATATATACATGACTGCTTCCTGTTTTCATGGCTTTTGTATGGGTGTGCCAACCTTGCAGTCTTCGAGTGGATCTGAGAAGAAAGAGGTCCACATATCGTACTACAGGTGGTGTAAAAAGCTTGTGTGGACTGAGTCTGGTCCATACAAGGTTTTACCCTTCTGTGGAATATGGAATGCTAAAGAGGCAAAAACTTGGAGGCAACACATCAATCGTTCTTGAGCATCAATTGATCATTCCCCGACATCGATCAACCGTACCCTACATCAATCGACCATTCTTCCACATTGATCAATGTTCCCTACATGTACATCGATCAATCGTTCCCCTACATCGATCGATCAATCGATTGATCTCTTTTGATCGATAAAGAAAAAGAGATGAAAAAAGAGCGATGACAAAAGTATAATGAAGAAAGACCGATGAAGTTACATCAATGCCAACATTACGCAACCCCTTCCAGTAGCAAATAATACACGTGTTCCCTGTTAACAGCCCACCAGCACTCAAGGTCACTCGTGTTCATTACCAGTCCATCTGGTCCAGAGCCAATTGGGTTGGCAGGTGGATTTGTTTATTTCTAGTTTCCTCGTCATGAAACCACTGAGAATATTATCTATTTTCCCCCTGCTTGGGATGCCAGTTTGTTATGGGTCACTCCCTAGATGTAGATACATGTAGATACATGTACATGTTCATGTACCAGTAAACAGTATAGAGTTCATGTACAGGTAAATATTTGTTTGCATAATTCCTTTGTTGTCTAGAGCCGGATTTAGGCCCTAGAAACAAAGTTTCAGATGTTGTTGACTTCAAGATATTATCAACTTCGTTGCGTTCTGTTCTCTTCTTGTCAATTCTTTTGTCCTAACCCCTTCGCGCCGGGAATTTCTTCCGGAAAGCCGACTCCAAGAATTCCAGCCCCGCTTGGCCACGAAGGCCACCTGCCAAACCGCAAATTCTCGGTTTGTGGCCCTGCGTGCTCTGCACGCTTTGAACTACACGGTGAAAAGGCAGATTGTAACCCAGAAATGAAAAGACCGAATTTGCATCATACTCACGGCTTCCACATTCCCGTTGCCTCTTTTCAAAGTGGGGATTATGGTGAAGCTGGTGATTATAATGCAAATTCGGTCTTTTCATTTCTGGGTTACACAGAAAGACCAATTACCATATATACAAGAGCCAGGGTCTGCCTTCTTTCACTGTGTTCGCTCGAGCGTGGCCAAGAATAATAGCTGAAAAGCGGGCTGAGGATCTCAATTTTTATGGCGTGTCTATCCGCCTCCCGGCACGAAGGGGTTAATATTCTTCCTTTTGGTACAGTGTACTTGTTAAAAACAAACACGAGCAGTATCCTCATGTGTGTTTGAATAAACCTAAGTGAACCCACCTACATGTGTACAAAAGGGATTCTTGACAAAGTTGTCCTATTCGTATCAATCAAAATACAAGTCAAATGACCCTGACGTGCCTGTGTACTGTGGCCAATCAAGGGGAAGGAGTTTTTGACTGTGACCGTTACAGCAAAAGGAGGGTTAACATGTACGTCTACATGTAACTGAAGCTTTTTGTGTAAAATTATTGCAAAGTTTGCAGTTTGGGTCTGTTAGTTTACCCTTTGACGAATGACTGGATCTTGGAAATGCACTGTACGTAGTCGGGAGTCGTCCTGAGGCTGGATGCTGTTGCCGCTCAGGAATGCACGCACTGTACAAAACATGTTGGCCACTGAGTCGACTCAGGTTTCAGGTCTCACCTCACCTTAGCCATGAATTTTTTAATATTGCTCAGAAGTAATATGCACATGCATGGCGCAGGCACCGGCGCTTGTACATGCACATTGCATGTGAAATGTGCCAGCTATCATACTTGCCTTTTACTGTCACAAATGTTTATGTACTAAATATGTGGACATGTTACATGTATGTAAAGTTCTCAAAGATGCTGAAAGATGAATGAAGGCATGAAAAGAATTTAAAATTATTTCTAAAAAACGAAAGAAAAGCCGTGGACAGCATTTACGGTACATGTAGATTTGATTTCATTATCATGGTTTTCAAATGCCATCCATGCATCCCATTGACCCTCATGAAATCCGTGCCTTTGATGCACAGTTGACTATGACGGCAAATTTGGTAAACAGCTTGGTATATTGCATGTATTGATATTGGATTTTCAATGTGTCTGTACTTGTGCACTTGGCTACAGCTAAATACCGGTAGGATAATAAGCATCTGTTTTCATGATACAGATACATGTAGGTATACAAGGACACTGTGTTTAATTGGCATGCACATGTGCAGCATCTAGTCCCAAGCATCTCGCAGATACTCTCCAACGCTACACCTCATTTAAGACGGTTTGATGGACCAGACCTTTATTGAATTGAGCACTGTGATAAGTGCATGGATGTCTGCCCGATGATTGAGAAAGAGCTTCTTCTTGGAGGCAAATGTCAGACCAAAGATTGTAAAGACAACATGAACATGTCACACTTAGCGGGGACATGTACCGTAAACAGGTTTTGCCTGTGCAGTAAAGCACTCTTTTTTTATTTATTTGAAGAGTCAAAGTTTGCAGAAGTATCCTTGGTTGGTGTCAAATTTTACCTCAAATGTACATTTACATGTACATATGTGTACGCTGTTACTTTTAAAGAGGCTGTTAAATGTACCGGTATTTTCATAGCATTTAGTAGTAGTGATTTCTGTTTGTCACTTTAAAAGTCTTACAGTGAGTTATTTTGTGCTTTTTTTTCTGACAGCCAGCCATAGTTTCACAAGCTACTGGTTTGCAAAATAGGATGCTGACATAAAAAGAGCAGACCTTATCCGCTCCGTGCGGAACAAAAGAGAGCTTGGGTTTTTTTTTCCTCACCACATAGGCGCGCCATGATGCGTGCAAGTATGTACGCATTTGACGCGAAGCACGCTGAGTACGCATAACTAATTTATTCCGGCATGTATGGTCTTTGCGTCCATGCAAAACGCGTGCAAGAACCCGCTTGTAACCACCTGTCTTTCTTTCGCCAACGGGGGGGGGTACATTCAGCTCGAGGCGGATTGACAATAAGGCATTTTTCTACAAACTTGATTCTCAACGGTCACATTCACACCGAAGAGTAGTGCTGTAGCGATAATTCTTGCCATTCTCCCCGGGTTGCAGCGGCCACTCTAGAGCTGGACAGCGAGGGCTTGTGATGCCACCCGGCTGGACAACTGTGCTCTTTTATCTGTCAATGTTGACCTCAATCATTCACACTGGGCGTGCAGAAATAGATCAGATACATGTACATTGGCTTGTGATCTCATCAAAGGTTGCCACTGGCGGGGGGGGGGGAGCTGTGTGCAGTAATCCTGTCCTGGATTAAAACCCTTGGTGTTGTTGAATTCATGCCAGCCATTAAGGCGGGTGTAAATCATGGACAATTGAAAACAGTAAAATGTACCTTTTTACATGCCCAGGAAACATTTGTACAACATACGGGAGCATAGGAAAACATTCATTTCACTGCTAAGTCCTTTTGACAGACGTACATGGATACTGTACTTGTAACGTTAAATCTAGTCTTTTTAGCTGGTGTGAGTTGCTTGTTTTCTCACTCCATGGTTCTAATTGTGTCCAGTTCTTTTTTAATGTTAAATATGAAGAGTGCTTGTACTGGAACATATACATGTACATGCACATGTATGCCATTTATTGTACATGTATGTACCTGGATATATATGTACATGTAGTGGAAAACTGTTATGACAACATCCCTGGGGACTTCACAAATTACCTTGTCTAACAGGTGCCTCACATTGTCAGTAACAGAAAACAAAGGAAAGCAAAGACTTGGGACATAAAATTGTCCTTGTTATAAGCATGACATGGAATAATAGTGCTGCTCTTACCAGCGTTTGACTGTAAACAGTTATTTGTAATGCATTACTGGAACTTTTGAAGGGTAAGTGCAAGTTTTGACATTGCACAGCTTTGAATTGAAATTTAAAAGAAATGTCTCTTTAGGGGTTCTTTATGCGGATGCAAAGAAAGGTTTTGATCGTACCAGACAGTGTTTTCACCCCCAAAACTTGCGAGGCCCTCAGCAGGCCCCATGCCCCTAACTTACAAGTAGAGCTGCCTGGTAGGACTTCCATCTCTGTGCCTGCTTCTTCATGTACATGTTCATAAAACAGTTTGAAACCTTAGTGGCCCAGTCTTATGGAATGTGTTCGCTCAGATGCTTGAACAAGGTTTAAGTTTCAGGACTGAGAACTAATCTTTTACCGTGGAAATTAATACTACCAATAGAAACTGTCAGTCGTGTCTCATGTGTACATGTACATGTGCCTTTGGACTCGTCAGATGGCCTCATTTCCAAACAGAGAGCCTGTTGTACATGTACATGTGCGTTCTGTCACGTCATGTGAAACACCTCTGATTAAGAAAATGCATCACGAAGGCTCGTCTTTGGAGGGGAGGGGTTTTCTCGTCACAATTGTTCACCTTATTTTTTTGTTTTGTTTTTTGTTGACTGTTACAGAAGGAATACCGCAAGTCTACTACTTTGGGCCCTGCGGCAAATACAATGCAATGGTCATGGAGCTGATGGGACCCAGTCTGGAGGATCTCTTTGACATCTGCGATAGGCAATTCTCGTTAAAGACAGTCCTCCTTATAGCTATCCAGCTGGTGAGTACAGACAAGGCTTGATTTTCAAACGCTGGGCCAGTTGTGTAAATCTTTGCAGCTTGCAGAAATCTCCTCCCCCCCACAAAAAGGCTTTGTGGGAAACAGTACCGGCTGACAATGTCGTGTAATTTGTGTTAACCTTGGTTAGATCTCTGCTGTGTTACTGTGGTTCTGTCAGCATGTTTTTGATATCTGTTTCTGCCCCAAAGGCTCAACCTGTTCATCCAATTTTCTCATCCAAGTGCCGATTCTTTCCCACAATTTCATCCATTAGACTGCTTGTTTTGTTTTGTTTTGTTTTGTTTTGTTTTTATACAGGGGTGTTGTGATTTCAGCTTGCTAGCTGATTTCAGCGTTTTTTGTGTAAATGTTGACCCTGAATTTCAGCTTTCATGTACACCTGGTCGTACAGAAGTATGGGACCTTTTTTATTTCAGCTTTTTGCTGGCGGCTTTCAGCTTTAACTTTAAGTGGCCACTCACACCCCTGTTTATAGGAATCAACTGAGCAGTCTTACATGTACATGCGGTTTTGATTCCTAGCTACTAGCTTGATTTATGCTTCTTCAGGTTAACCTATTGCTACACTGCTGAATCAATCGGAAGACTACTGACCTGTTTGTTTCACACCAATCCGGATCTTGATCAGCGGTCCCAGACGCTGGTTTGCTCTATCCATTTAGTTGGATTCTGGTGTCAGTGAACCAGCAAGGGATTACTGATCCAGATCTGGATCTGTGAGTAACAAGCAGGCCCTGCATTATCTACTTGCAATGCACATTTTACATCAGTACTAGTAGTAGTACACATTTGGGAGCAGGGTAAACTTACATGTACCTGTACTTCAACATGTACATGTCCATGTACCGGTACATGTAAGGCCTACTTTTGTTGCTTCTCATAAATTTGAAGGAGCTGCAGTGTACCTTACACAATGTGTAAAGCACAGCAAACTGTTGCTCATGCACATGTTCATGTGGTCAAACAGGGTACTTTCCCTGACTGGTACATGTACTCAGTCGGCATTTGCTTAGCACTTCAGCTACTTGTATAGTTGTACTTACATGTACAGTACAAGTAATGTACATGTACATAGCATACTGTAAATAATGCAGGCGTGGATTAGGGAGGGGGAATGTTGACAAAAAGAGGGAAGGGAAAAGAGATAAGGTGGCTCAGACAGTCCTATTCTAGGTGTCGCCCTCAAAAAGTTACTGATGGCATACTTATTCGTGGTATTCTTGTTTTCACCGTTGGTTAGATACGTGCTTGTTTTGAGAATGTACATGTACTGGTAGGCCTTCTGGTACATGTACATATAACATAATTTTTCCATTTAACTGGTTTGTGGTAAAGTTTCTAATTTTGTAACTTCGGCTGTTAATTTGTGTGTTCCCAGTATGGCCTCAGGTCATAAAGAGGTCAAATAATTATTACTCGAGAGAAAAAAATCCCATTAAGTTAGCGTACAGGATGATATTTCATTTGTTATATTGCATGTGCCGGACATAGAAAGATGATATTTTTATTTTGCCAGGCAAATCCGATCTGGGGGCAGCCCATTCAAAGAAAAACTAAGATATATGTAATCCATGATAGATGGTGTGACCAGCCGACTGGCACAAATGATATCCACAAGGGCCGCATCTGCAGCAATAGCAGTCGTAATGACAGCATTCAGCTGGGATGTAGTGACACTTGATGGGTGGACTGTGTACTGCCTGGCTGCTCACAGACATGAACGTGTACGAACCATCTGTACAGCTGAATCTGATTGCCCTCCTGAGAATCAGTGTGCATGGGAAATGTACAGTGCACATGTACAAGTACATCTGTTGTACATTGACCAATGGATTGCTTGCGTTCCTTGCTTTGTTGCATTGTGTACCATATTTGTGTTGATGAGAGGTCGTCTTTCATGTTTGTATACTTCTCAAAAGACTTGACTGACCCTCACTGTTAAGGGCAGTACACTCTGCTCACTGAGACGGTTTCTCTCAGAACTGTACAGACTCAAAAAGGGATCAACTGCCATGTTGTAGCATTGCCACAAATTCTCTCAGAACTGTACAGACTCAAAAAAGGGATCAACTGCCACGTA